CTTTTAATTTTGGTATAGTTTTTCCTAGTAAAATAGATTTTTCTTCTCACAATTATTATGATCATTACAGGAAGCCACACTTGCAGTTGCTGCTGTAGAGAAGAAAAGGAGGGAACAGAAAGATGGTGCTTGTATCAGCTCTCGGGCAAAGAGTAGGAAAATCATTCTTTCTACAAGAATTTCATGTTTGCTGTGATGCATGTTATGGGTGTTCACCTTTTTAAAATAGCATCTCCTTTATTTTCTGTGTTACTCTGACTTTAAAGTGGTGGTCAATTAGGAGAACGTATATTTCGTATTGGGTTGGTTCGTTACAGAATGGACTCTTCGGGGAGGACACTTCAAAGGATTTCAGGTGTTCAACCTTTATGCCTTAATTTATTTATTAGATGTTGCATCCCCTTCACCTCCTATATTCACTACTTTTCTTAATGTGTCACGATTGCCTAAAAGAATACATTTACCTGGGACATGCGATTCAAGTAATTTTAAGATGTGCCTTTGGCAAGTATGATCTAGAGCGACAATTGTTCATATTAGATGAGAAATTGGTGATTTGTTTACTCGTATATTAAGTTGGTGATTTCTCATTAACAATGTCATTTGTGAATGATGGCATCTCCGGTCCCTTTAATAATACCTGTATAAGGTATGTCGCGTTTTGAGCTTATTGATTGAATGTTATAACAACACTAAGTTTATCAATTTTACCATGATCATTTTGTTGGTAGAACCTTATGTGTATACAATCGATTATGATACCTTCTCTATGCCCCCTTATGCATCTTGAGGCTATACATCAGTTTTTAGATCCCATATGGATAAACACGTTATGTGCTTATTGAAGAAGAGCTTATGTCAAATAAGCTCTACTGAATTGGGTGTTCTGAAATAGACTAATTCTTGTTAGCCTTGGGATTCTGAAATACAAACTCATAAATTTCCCTGAACTTAAAAATGGGGGGAAAAGAAAGAAAGAAAGAAAGAAAGAAAGAAAATATCCAGAATAAATAGACCTCAGGGAAATGCATCGACCCTCAACTTCAAAGGGTCCGCTCTCCTCCATTTTAAGATAGACTCTCCAAGAGGTGTCTGTTTTTTCATTGGAAAAATATCAACGGTGACGCATATATCCCAAGTGTCAAAATAGCTTGCAGCTAAGTTGGCTTAAACTTTCCCATGCACATATTTTGATAAGCATCAATATCAGCATATGGTGGCATTATAATTATTAGTTCTTGTATTTCTTTTGTTGGTGTCTATGGTGGTAATATTTTCAGAATTATAACGTTTTTTTAACTTCTAATGTTTTCCATTGTTCTTTTCCTTAGTTCTTTTTTTCTGTCAACATGTTTTATGGAATATTTGGCTATATTTCTCCCAGAAAGGCAATTTTTATTGGGACTAATAAAACGTAATGCTCTTTGTAGCTGATGAGCCCCTAGCCTCTGCTTCTCTCCGTTCAGGTTTGCATGTCAAAAGTTCATACATTCCAAGGAGATTAGTGATTGGAAATGATGAGTATGTGCTTTATTATATTTATTTTAATTTCTTTGTTGATTTTAATCAGTTGGTAATGGCTTCTTATAGTTTCACTATCTTTACAATTTTGTGTATATAGTATATAAATGATAACTTCCAACATTCACAGGTATGTCCGAATTGGCAATGGCCATAAGCTTATCAGAGACCCAAAGAAGCGAACTCGTATATTGGCTAATGAAAAATTAGGTGGAGTTTACACACAGCTAGACAACGGTTGGCTCGGAAGCAGAAGTATTGTCAATTCTTTACTAGATTTGGGAAATGTAACAAGGATGACAGGAAGTGTCCCTATATTCATGATCCCTCTAAAATTGCTGTCTGTACTAAGTTTCTGAATGGTTTATGCTCCACTCCCAACTGCAAATTGACTCATAAGGTTTTGTCATATATCAAGTCCTAGGGACTGTATGTGGTCTGCTGCAATTTGCTGATCTGTCTGTCAAGAGTTGATGTCTAAGCTTTTGTTTTGTTTTGTTTTTCCTTTCAGGTTATTCCCGAGAGAATGCCTGATTGCTCTTATTTTTTGCAAGGTGCATAGAAGAAAGTTTTTTCTTTCTGAGTGATTAACATGAAATTACTATACTGACAAGTTGAATGGCAGGTTTATGCACAAATAGAAATTGCCCCTATAGACATGTTAATGTAAACCCTAAGGCATCCGTTTGTGAAGGATTCCTCCGGGGATATTGTGCTGATGGCAATGAGGTATTAGGCTATCATGTTAAATTTTCAGTAAAATTAGTGGATAATATGAATGTTAAGCTTCTCTTTTCACTCAAATCAGACATATCAATCTTTTTACATGCAATTGTTTCATTTCTCTAGCGTCTTTGAGGAAACAGGTTTTGTAACTCCAGTTTGGTGATTTGATATTGTCGTTGGGGTTACTATGTCTGTTTATGTTCACACTGAATTTCAGTCGAGTGCGACACCTTAGGAGTGAAATTCAGTTTTGCCTGCAGTTCAAGATTGTATGGACGATTTATCTCGTACCTATAATTTATATAGTAGCTACTTTCTTTACTCTTAGAAACTTTAGATTGGTTGCTAACTCTGCCCCTAAGGCATCCAATTCCTGCCCCATATACAAGTGATTTTGCGTTAAGATTGTGCCATTTATGTGGTCTCAGTGTCGGAAGAAGCACACCTATGTCTGCCCTACGTTTCAAGCAACAGGAAGCTGCACCCAAGGGAGCAAGTGCAAACTTCATCACCCCCAAAAACAAGGAAAGGGAAAGAAAAGGAAGAGATGCGTGGATCAGAGGAACTGTAAAAGGCGATATTTTGGTTCTTTATGGATTGATGTGTCTGAACCTGGGACGATGGTTGTAGCTCCAAGGCAAGGGGAACAAAATAAGGATGGCCTTGAAGGAGAACTTGCTGACTATATCAGTCTAGATGTCGAGGATGAAGACGTTGCTGAACTTCCGGGACGAGCAAGGGAGCAATCAACATTGTGTGATGGTGAACCTGGGGACATAGTATTGGATGATGAGGATGAACTCATTAAACCAGTTCTGATAATGAAAAAGGATATTAGGGCCAAGACATCTCCTGTCTGACAGCCCCCAGCCAGACAAGTGGCAGGGGGACTATTTGTGAAGCTAACGATTTATTATTTGTTCTTAGTTTATATGCCTGGTTGATTTTCAATGCTCTCCACCCGGCACTTCTATGTGTTTACACTGTACAGCAACATGAATATTATATAAATAACCTGCTTCAATATGACCAATTCTGAGATTTCTGTGAACTGAAAAGGTTTCATTCTCCTTTTTTTGTTGGTCGATGGAGTTGTAATCTTCTCATCTGAAAAACCCACTCGCAGGTGGGGAGGGTTGTTTGTCCAGTATATCACACGTAATCCGTCGTATTACTGTGCTAAGTAAAGCCACCGCTGCCAATGCAAATAAACAAACAAATAAATAAAATAAAAACTGTCTTGCTATTATGGCAAGCCAACTATCAAAATCAATGTACCACTCTATTCCTATTATAAATAAACACTTTCTCATAAGGAATGAAGAGATTTTATTATAAGTTATTAAACGAGGTGCTGGGTATATATTTTTAAGATTTCCTTAATTTAAAGTTTCATCTAATTTTTTTTTATACTCTTCAATCAAATGTGATTAATAATTAAATTTTATTTTTTTATTTTAAAATAAATTTAATAACTTAACCGATGTGTTAGGAGGTGGGTCTGAGATATAGGGGTGTTTGGCAACCTCCAAACCATAGTTTCAGAAGCACTTTTCCGCAAAACGAGACAAATTCTTTTATATATTTACTTCGTAAACCATAAAAATACTTCTAAAATCATGATTTGGTTTCTATCCAAATACTCCCTGTAAGCACTCCAATGAATGCAGATTATGTGCGCAGCCCAAAGCAGATTAGGAGATTTTGAATGGTGTGATTTAGAACAATGATGGATGGGAATGATTCTGGGCCGGGCATATGGTCTTCCCACTAGCATATGGGTATTCCATTATTTTTGTCTTGTGCGGGCATTATCCTACGTGGAAAAGTGCTCTCGTACTTTTTTTTTTGGGTGTTAATTTTAATTTCATTTGTTAATGTGCTCTCGTACTTTAAAAATCAAACTTCCAAACTGTTCTTGGAAGAAAAGTGCTCAGTTTTGAAGTAAGCAAATTATATATAAATAGCTCTTCGAATTTATTTAATAGTAACTAATTTAAAAAAATTTAATATTTACAGGCCAAACCTTTCTTTTACAAACCGAGTTACGTTATTTATAAATGAACTTAATTATTATATCTCTTAAAATATATTAATATTAATTGAAATTTAGGGCACATATCTGTTCTTAAATTTCTTATGATTTATCTTAATGTTGGAGTGGCTTTTTTTAATTAGATAATTATTTTGAAGAAAAATTATTTTTTCCAAAAATTAATTTGTTTGTTTGGATTTTTTTTAAAATAATCAGAATTAAAAAAATTATATTTCTAATCATCTTAAGAGCTTTAGTTTCGAAATAATCCTAGCAGATGAAAAACAATGCGGATGAAGACATACGTATGAAGGTATCATGACCATGATTATTGCTTTTAATAAGCCATAATCATTTATTTATCGTATTATAATGGATTTGTTCTTATAATTTTTAAGATATTTTATTTTTAAATGCTTAAAAAAATTAACATTTATATTATTGAAGCAATATCCTTATCAAAGGCATGGAGGCGACCGATAACTGTTAGTTAATTAATGGCTATTCAAATCCAGATTTGGAAAATAAAATCATCATTTAAGGATAGATTGAGAATTTTCTAGTGAAATCAAATAAAGTCATCGTAGTTAAATAAACATAATAATCTATTTTATATCTATATATGTTTGGATAATATAAGGTTTATGAAAAATCCATGAATTATCAGTAATACAATCTATCTACTTTTAAATTATATGCAAAGCATAGGCTCATTTTCATCTCTGACGTGACTTGGCGAATAACATGCCAACACTCAATTGTACTTGAGACTACAAATTAAAATACTATGCAGCGCTCATAAAAACCTCTTTGTACTTTCTTATTTTTATAATTTTCTTCGAGTTTCAATGATTTATCGAAATAACTTTTCTTATTAAAGATTTAGGATTTGTTTGGATTGAATTATAAATAATTTTTTAAAGATGATTTTGAAATATAAAATAAGTATGTAAGAAGAATTTTATCTCGACTTATATGAACTTGCTTAAAAATCTCTTTTGAATATAACTCCAAACACGCCCTTAACCGAAGCTGCCTGGTTCGAACGCTGGGAAGGAGAATTTAAAAAAGACAATGAAGAAGGAGTATACTAGGCAGCTTCAAGTTAAACTTTCATGTGCTTATCATTTAAAAAAAAAAAAAAGCATCCGTTTAAAGATAAATATTATGGGATCATTAATCATCAATCAATTTACTTCTAAAACATGTTGATTTCATCCCCCGTCAGTCAACAAAACAAATCCTCCATCTTAAAAAAAGAACGCAACAATAATAGTATCAAATATTAAAATCTATTTAAGGCTATAATTATCTCCTCACAAAATATTATCAGCCCAACGATAGAATATTCTTAGAATTAAGAAACTTGCGATATGATAAAATTAGGAAGGGATAATCTTTTCGCGTCATTATTTTTCTTGGGACGAGATCTTGTTAATTTCCCGGGCGTAAATCATTCTCATGGCAGTTCTTTTTTATTTAGATTACGCCAAATCATATGTACGTTGATTTTAGTGCAGGAGCCCAGCTAAACTAAATAATTGTGGCGACCGTACTTCCCGGTAACATCAGGCCAAAAAAGGATTACTTCTCTTTTTTAAAAAAAATAAATTTCGCCGACAGAACATTTTTTTTTTTTATAACGAAGATTACTTTAATACTGCATTCATATTTAGAGAAAAATTGGAAAAAAAGCCGGTAGAAAAATTATAAATTAGAATTCATTACAATATCAGTATGGGTTTGGAGAATGAGTTTTGAAAATAATTTTTATAAATAGGTTCTTCTATGTAATTTTTTAATTTCAGTGATTTTTTTTGTGATTTTCCGTTCGTTTTTAATTTAGTAATGACAGATAAAATTATAATAATGATTTGACCATCAACTCACAGCAACTTATAATAATAATTTTAATTCACGTAAATGGTTAACAAAAAGAAGAGAGAGATTTACGTAAATCCAGAAGCGTGGCTTCCAGCAGGACTACTTCTGTCAGTTTTAGTTCGGTGTCCAACCTTGCTAGCTTTTCTCATAGTCGATCTCGAATTGAATTGACCATCCTCCGCCTCTGCGATTTCTCTACTCTTGTTTTTATTCAATGGCTTCCACGCTCGATTCCACCGCTGACAAGCTCTCCAAGCTCGGTATCAATGGCGAATTCGCTACTTCTGCTCCAAACCTCCAGAAGAATCTCCACCTTCTGTCGCCCGAACAGGTGTCCTACACAGACACACACCATGCATGCCTTGGCTTCTTTGATTTTCATTTTTTTTTTTTTGGCTCGGGACGGTTTTGATTTGGCTTGGGGTGGTGGATGCAGGTTGATCTCGCTAAGATGTTGCTGGAGATGGGCCAAAGTCATCTTTTTGAACATTGGGCGGAGCCGGGCGTCGATGACGACCAAAAGAAAGCACTTTTTGGGCAGGTAGGACTTCTTGATCATCAGACGGTACTCGTGCATTTCATAATTTAATTCGGATCCTTCAACTCGGGTGAAAACTCACACACCTTTTAAAAACATTGTGAGCTACTAATCCTGAAAGAGGTTTCTATGAAATTCTTCGCTGATATAGTGGCCGAAGTGTTTTATCCTCTAAGTAATACTGGATGGACCGTGCTTTTTCCCGTCGCTCTCTGCCTTAAGTTACTTTTTTTTTTTTTTTTCCTTTTTAGGTGGCCCGACTGAATTCAAGCTATCCCGGTGGTCTGGCGTCATATATTAAAAACGCTAGAAGACTGTTGGCTGATTCAAAAGCTGGAAAGAACCCATACGACGGCTTCACACCTTCTGTGAGTACTATTTCCATACATTCTATATTGCATTGCATGCTGTCCTAATAGTTTGATATACTGATATCAAATAAATGCTGAATGGGCTAGTTTAATATTTCATTTCATTTGATGATGATTTTGTAGGTTCCAACCGGGGAGACTTTGACATTTGCTGATGAGAACTTCATCAATTTTGAGGAAACAGGAGTGAAGGAAGCCAGAAGAGCTGCATTTGTTCTTGTGGCAGGTGGCCTTGGGGAGCGTCTTGGATACAATGGAATTAAGGTATGCCTTCTCGCTCTATATAAGGACTAATGACACCTATGATATGTGTGTGTACCTAATGAACTCAGTCTCAAGTGTCGATTCTATTCAATACTGCAGTATTATGACTGATGATGTTATATTACCAGCAACTTTGCTCTGTACTTTTTTCAGCTGACCTTCATAGCCCATGGCCCCCTGATTGATGTAATCTTCTAAGGCGAATGGTCTAATAATATCCATAGCTTTGGCAGTATTCTTTGCCCTTAGAATTACACTCACCTGCTTTCTAATCTCTGGGTCCTGTAGACCATGATGAACTTATTACCTTCTAATAATGCTGTGCCATGCATGTTTTATGCAAAACTGAACGGCATATAAGTTAGCTTCTTTTTTCCCCCCCCTCTCGCTTGGAATTATTTCTGATTCTCAACCATTGCTTCTCCATCTTGCAGGTTGCTCTTCCCGTTGAAACCACCAGTGGAACATGCTTTTTACAGCATTACATTGAATCTATATTGGCTCTGCAAGAAGCCAGCAATAAACTTTCACAAGGTTAGCCTTATCTTTCATCAGGAAACAGAATTGTAGAGTCATATATCTCCTGTTTTTGTTATAATCCAATGAGGAAAGGTGTGACCGTTTGTTGTCCTGCAGCATCACGTGGTTATTAACGTCAATTATCATATTCAATAGTCCTTTATAGTAATGTTGTTTCTTTTCAATCTACAGGTGAGAGCCAGGTGCAGATTCCTTTTGTTATTATGACATCTGATGACACACATGAACGTACCTTAAAGCTTTTGGAATCAAATTCCTACTTTGGTATGCAATCTACGCAAGTGAAACTTTTAAAGCAGGTATGGCTTTGGATACCTAAACGAAAGTATAATATTTCTTTAAAACGTTTTAATCAAATGGTTTTAAAACAAATTACATTTCAGGAAAAAGTAGCATGCTTAGATGATAATGATGCAAGACTTGCACTGGATTCAAAAAACAAGTACAGAATTCAGGTAATGTTGCCTAGGGTACAATCATGACTGTATGACTGAAGTTTGGGGCAATATGTTGTGTTACCTAAACCTCAGATATAATATCTTCAAAGAAAGTGATATTGATTAAGGATTTCTTTCTTTGTAGACAAAACCTCATGGCCATGGCGATGTTCATGCGCTTCTTTATTCCAGTGGTATTCTGAAAGTATGGTATGATGACACATACTTTGGTGGTCTCTCAATTTGTGTCTCCATTTTCATTTATACTTCCATATTTAAATTAACTGAGCTATGTCTCAAGAATTAGAAATTGTTGTGAGTTGATTACTTGATTCGCTTATGGATCTTGTCTCTTCTCCTAAGTAATTTCAGTGTGTTTTGAATACAATTTCAATCCTGAGAAAGCTGTCCTACATGACTGGGAATGTTTGATGATACTTTACCATATTTCTAAATTGGCGGGCTGTTGTCTAGGATTCCTACTAAAATAAAGGGCTGTGGTAATTTGTCTTTTAGCAATACTCTTATGTAAGTTTATATTATGATCTGCATTTGTCAGGCGTGATTCTGGTTTGAAATGGGTTCTCTTTTTCCAAGATACAAATGGACTTTTGTTCAAGGTTTGTTGCCTTCACATTCCATTCAGTCACAATTTCCTGGTTTTCTTATTAATATGATTTGAATATTAATTGACCGGCATTTTGAGGGTACAGGCCGTTCCCGCTGCAATAGGAGTCAGTGCTTCCAAACAGTACCATGTTAACTCGCTTGCTGTACCTCGAAAAGCAAAAGAAGCCATTGGAGGAATTACCAAACTCTCTCACGCAGATGGTAACTCTTAATTGTTTATTCACTATTACTCTAAGAAAAGCTATTGTGATTGTTTTCATTTTTGACCAAGGATTAATCATTATTATTTTTCCCCGATAAACAGATTAAGACAATGTAAAAACATTGTTTCCGTGTGGTTTTTAATTGGAAAGTTGCATCTGAACCAAAGCTATTCAATCTTTTTTTCAAGTGGACCTTGGGAATGACACTAGTTTTAACATTGACTATTAATTTATCTTGTTTCGCTCCCAGGGAGAACAATGGTGATAAATGTGGAATACAATCAGCTAGATCCCCTCCTCAGGGCAACTGGCTTCCCTGATGGGGATGTCAATTCTGAGACAGGCTTCTCACCCTTTCCAGGAAACATAAACCAAGTAATCTCATGAATTCCCCTTTGCTCCCCTTTTCATTTAACTATGGCTGGTCTGAGTCAATGGTACTCCTCTAATCTGCATTCTTAGCTTAACATATTGTTTGACTTGTGAGCATTCTGTTCATACTTTATTGTTGCAATACTTGAGATATCAGGCTTCCATGTGTTTGATTTGATATATCTGGTAGACCATGAAATCTAAACTTGGTGTAAGATTGACATTCATTTTGATATGATATGGATTTGTGCAATGTGATCTGCCTTCTAAGACAGTGTCATGCGACTTAGAACTGCAAACTGCCCCACTTCCCAGACCCCGGGGGGGGGGGGAGCAGAAAAACAACAATTATGATTTTGTTACCCTCTTTGTTGTTACTGTGGTTATTATTATTTGGTCCAACTGCTTTATCCATATGTAACGCCTTATTTTATTTTAACAGTTAATTCTGGAACTTGATTCTTACATTGAAGAGCTCACAAAAACTGGAGGTGCCATAGCGGAGTTTGTTAATCCAAAGTACATCTTTGTATACTCCTTATGCTTTATTATTATTTTAAAACACTTAATGGTAGCATGCTTTAATTATTTTCTTGAAAAAATTGAGTTATGTATTCAATGTGTTTGATCCATTAGAATTTGCCTTAATGCCATAGTTTCTTTGAACATTTTGCATAAATTCCAGGTAGAGCAATGTTAGTCAGCAAATTTTGTAGCAGAATAAGAATTATTTTCTTTGGAAAAAAAAATCATAAATCGTCAATTCTGTGATGCTAATATTGAAGAAAAATATAGCTGTAAAATGCGTTGCTTGCTTATATGACGACACTGTTCTAAAATTAGAACCTATTTGATTGGACAATTTTGAAGTTACATGCCACAATTCATAGGAAATTCAATGTAATATGGGATTTAAAGGTAATTAGGGAAATTCAGATAAAAGGTATTTAGAGAGTTAGGATTTAGGGTGATTAGGGTATTTGAAGCATACCTCTATTCTATTAGTAGCGGAGCACCCAGAATGAATGAAATACTATTTTGGTTTATTGGATGTTTGTGTCTTCTACCATGTATCGACTGGTGTCAGGGGCAGTGAGATCCATGGGAAGAGAGGTGGGGCTTCGGGTGGTCCTGTAGTTCAAAGTTCAACCAAGAGCTTCAAGAGAAGCCCAGCAAATCTCACAAAAGTGGCACGAAATTTATAAGAATCATTGAATTACTTTAATCATAAAGCCTGTTAAGAATAAAGTGAACAAGTTTGTATTAGTTATATAGGAATATAAATAAGCAGCAATATAAATTTGATTTATCTATATATGTAATTCAGTGGCTACTTTATGGTGACCATCAATCCAACATTTTCTAACTGCAGGTATAAGGATTCCAGCAAGACATCATTTAAGTCATCAACTCGACTTGAATGTATGATGCAAGACTATCCAAAAACATTGCCACCGTCTGCAAGGGTTGGGTTTACGGTAAATAAATGTTGAGTTTGTAGAGATGCCGTTAGGAGATTTTTTGGGAGTCACGCATGGTACTGGCTTACTGGATCTATGTAAATATGCAGGTAATGGATACATGGCTCGCCTATGCACCTGTAAAGAACAACCCTGAAGATGCTGCTAAGGTATAATTTAAAATTAAATTCAGCTATTGCAGGGCATGACCTTGCTGTTTTCTTTGAGAAGTAATGCAGGACATCTAAAACTCATAGATGAAGAAACGCCCATTAGAATAAATAATAAAAGGGAAAACTTAAAAGTCTTTCATGATTTATTTCATATTTAATTATATATAGCATATGATGGAGGACAGAGTGCAAATAATTAATCAATAGTTCAGTCTGAGTTGGGAGCTTTGGATATAAAATACTGTTTGGATGGTAGAAAAGCTTTATATGATGGTAAAAATTCACTGAAATATCATTAATCGCTAAAAAGTTTTCAACAGGGGAACTATGTCTGATATTATTTTTATTTGACTGAAGGTACCGAAGGGAAATCCATATCATAGTGCAACCTCCGGAGAAATGGCTGTCTATCGTGCTAACAGCCTCGTCCTTAAAAAGGTAATATGCTCCTCCTATCATTAGGGGGTGCTCTTCCACATCAACTAGAAGGAAAATTAAATAAATCCATTCTGATTCCAACTGTTTTAATGGTTTTTCGGAGCCAAAAATGCATGTTAAAGATTACACTTTCCAGCCTTTCCGGCAGATGTGCAATTGTACATATGAAGTGGCTTGATGCAAGCTTAGCCTTTTTACTCCCCCCACACCCCCCAACCCCCAAAAAAGAAAAGGAAAGAAAAAATAGAAAAACTAATTTCCTTTGCATTTGTATGGGATTAGAGCATTAGTAAACTTCATGAGTTTAAGAGTGGAATATGCAAATGTTTTTCTTCTTTGTAGAACTTGTAGGCAAAATGAAGCGATTCTTATTTCTATTGTGGCTAAAATACTGGTATTTGTAACTGGCAGGCTAACATACTGCCAAGATTCTCATCGCTAAAAGTCAAAATCCAGACAGTATAACCCAATCTCTTTACATTCTTATTTCTGCCAGGCTGGTGTCAAGATACCAGATCCGGTGTTGCAGGTTTTCAACGGGCAAGAGGTTGAGGTATGGCCCCGTATTGTATGGAAGCCAAAATGGGGCCTGACCTTTTGTCAGATCAAGAACAAAATCAGTGGAAATTCCTCAATATCTCAGAGGTCTACATTGGCCATAAAGGGTCAAAATATCTTTCTTGAGAATCTGTCCTTAGATGGGACTTTAATTATTGATGCTGTTGATGATGCTGAGGTATGGCTGAACAAATTTGCTTCATTGTTTGTTTTGGAAGTTTCCCAAGATCAAATTAGCTGCTGGGGAGGAATAATAACTATTTGACAGTCAGGTCGTCTAATAAATAATCAAACACTTGAGTTAAATTCCAATCATATGCTGCTTAGGTTATTCGCTGTGAATAGTTTAAAATGTTGCTTAATTTTTTGTTGAAAATATCATTGAGGGGCACACACGGAGGGAGAGAATTAAAGAGATCTCGATGCTAATCTCAACTCCATTACATAGATTGAGAACCCTGAGACTGTTGTACTAATAAATCTCCTGTGATTCAGTTCCAACGGAACTTCATATACTCATGATGCAGATATTTCGATTCTCCATCTAATTGTTGCCATCCCATACTCGATCAGGATTATTTTTTTTTTTTTAACTGAAACTTTGATTATTTGATATGATGAAGATGATCCTCTGTACTGTGGAAGAATTTTTTAATGGATATGGATTTTGGAATATGATTATGTTGATATGGTTAAATAGGTAAAGATCGTTGGTTCGGTGCAGAACAAGGGGTGGACCCTTGAAACTGTTGACTTCAAAGATGCGTCGCAGCCTGAGGTAACAAGAATTAGAGGTTTCAAGATCAACAAGATTGAGCAGTTGGAGAAGAACTACTCGGAACCCGGCAAATTCTCGTTGACGTCTTGAAGGTGAAACAATGCAAATTTGGGCCCTCTGGGCATTGTTCGTTATTCTTGGTTTTAGATTTGACGTTTCGTTGATCGTAATAATGCGTCCCAGTGATGCAGGAAGGCTTTGTTGGGTTTATCATTCTTTTTTTTAAAAAAAATAAGGCTTCTTTCTGGGACAGTGGCAATTGGCAATTGTATTTAACTTAGTTTTTTTCCGGGGTTCCCATTATCTCGTTTAGTTAGAGCAGAGGTTTCGTTGATGTCTTGATCAGTTAAGTTGCACAAAAGTTTTGTTTTCTTCCTTTTTATGCCAGCTGTATAGAACTTTTTTAAGTTTCAATTCATCTGCAAATATCTACCTTTGAACTTGATTCATGAATTTGTATTTAAATCAATATTGCAATTCATTTACCAAAAACTGGTCTTATACCTAATTGTCATTAATTATCATTTTTATGACCTAAATATCCTTGTCCCCATCAAAAGATGGTAAACGCACTACACCGGCAAAAAAAGAAAAAGATAGTAAACGCAAATGAGTTGACCCATCCAAGGCGGAAGAGACATGGTCTAAATATTTAGGTCTCATTTGATACGAAGTAAGTATTAAAAATAAAGGATAGGGATTGATATTAAAATCGAAAAGATTTATTAAAAGAGAATTTAGTATAAGATATTATTTAATACATAGGATTAGACAAATCTCTTCATGTGGGATTGGGAAACATTATAAGAAAAAGTATTATTTTTCAATTCTACTTTTATGAGTTTGTCTAAATCCATGTACCAAGTAATTATTCATGTTAAATATTTTTTAGTAATTTTTCTTAATTGTAATTTCAGTTTTCATCCTTCATTTTTAATACTTTGTATCAAACAGGATATTAGACTCATTATGACGTAATAATTGATGTCCCACTCAAGTAATCCTGACACGTGTTCCATGAGGAAAGACCCCCTCCCGCCCTCAACACGCAGTTAGAATATCGCACTCAAGTAATTAATACGCGCACGCGCAACGCAGAACCTCTCCTCTTCTTTACAGTCTTCTTACCATCCTCTTTTCTAATCCTCACCCTTCATTTCATCTGACAGTCATGAAACACTTAATAAAATGTTGAGATTTGCATATATAAATATAACATTTTACTCTTTCACATAAGAATGAAAATTATTCTCGCATATTAAATTAAACTCGGGGCAAGTTGTGTTACTCATATGGGTATGTAGAGTATTTGGGAAAAGGGGCTTTTTTAAAAAGAGAAAAAAAAAAAGGCAGTTAGATTTAAAATTAAAAATTCACTGTCTTGATAGTATTTTACTGAAAATCTCAATATTTTATTGAGTGTTTCATGACCTTAGGATGAAATGGAAGGTGAGGATTAAAGAAGAGGATGATCAGAAGACCGCAACAAAGAGGAGAAGTTCCGCGCCGCGCCTGCCGGTTGGTCAATTACCGAAAATCACTAAATCTTTTGACGTTTCCATTCAAAAACGCAGCCTGGCCAATATGCCCAATATTAAAAGATGGGTCAAGATGAGTGCAGAATTCAAAGTAGCTTTTTAGGCACCTTTAATATTTTTAAAAAAATTTCAGTATATTTAACACTTTAAAATATTTTTTTAAATACGTTTAATTATCTTAAAATATTTTATAGTGTATCTAACATCTTAAAAAATATTAAACAATACTTTATGATACTTAATATATATTAATTTAACAAATATTTTGAGGAGTTAATAATACAACTAAAACTGCTCATGAAATAATATTTTAAAAAGCACAACTACTTTTAATATAATTACAGGAATTATATCATAGGATATTTTAATAGACTGAATACACTTAAAAAAATATTTTAAAATTATAAACGTATCACAGAATATTTTAGAATATTAAAAGCACCTAATAAAATATTTTGGATCTTGGGTCTTGGATGCATCTTAGTGTGGAAATGATGTTGACGGAGACTTAGGGCCTGTCTGGGTAATATAGGAAATCATAGTTTTGGGATCATTTGTTAATCAGAAGGAAAAATTAACAAACCATAGTTTTGGGTCAAAACTATAGTTTCAGAAAAAGTAAAGGGATGTTTGGATGGAATCAAAATCATAGTTTTAAAAGTGCTTTTATGGTATAAGAAATAAATATATGAAGGAGTTTATCTCGATTTGTGAAAAAGTACTTTTCAAAAGCACTTCTGGTGCTACCCAAACATCCCCTAAATCCATTATGCTTCTGGTTCAAATTGGAGAATATGATTGTGCCTGTTAAAGTAGATCTCAATGATAATATGACTTTAACACCCCTCAATTAATTTTTTATAAGCATATTTAATCTTATATTTTACAAATATATATACATATATTAATTATTTATTAATTATATTATCTTATATATTATTAATTATGTTGGTAAAAATATATATTATTAACAGTTTTATTTCTTCAAATTAAAATATATTATAAAATCTATCTTTTATGTTATTATCATATTAATTTATGCTTTTTTTTAATAATTTACACATATAAAAAATACTTCTGATGACAACTATCCAAACATTCTCACTTTATCATAATCATTTTTCCATAAAATCTACCCTTCATAAAATTTATTTTTCAAAAACTATTTTCTAACGTATGGTTTGGATTTTATCCAAACACTTATTGATCGTGGAACTGAAGAAGAAACATCCACTTGATCCGTTGGAAATCACAAGGTGCTTTCAAAGAAATGCCTGGGGAACTTCCTGGAACCCCTGCCACGACCACACTTTCGAACGTCTTCATCCAAATCAATTTAATCTGGCCATCATTCTTGTACTTTCCGGTACACCAGGATTACGAACCTCAGTTTACGTGATAGACTCGAGCGCCTCTCTACTTCCTATATATATGCCCCAGATAGCTTGGCATGAAACATATAAAAATCTGTACATATGCGTCTTTGTATATCAGTTTAGCGTATCACAAAACAGTCATATTCAAGATTCAAAGATCGATCCCCGTTTTATATATGATGTGTTCCCTAACCCGCAATGACTTGCAGAGGATTTTTGAGAAGCTGGACCGGAAGGGCGATGGTTATGTTAGCGTTGAGAATCTGAAGAGACTGGCGGAGAATATAGGATTCAATTACGGAGCAGAGGAGGTCGAGTCGCTGGTGGGCAAGAAGAGACTTGACTTGGAAGAGTTCTTGATGTTTTACGAGTCCATATCGAGAAGTAACAGTAGCGGGGAGAGCAGAGGGGGTGGTGAAGAAGAAGAAGAGCTGGTGAAGGCGTTCGAGGTGTTTGACATGGATGGAGATGGATTCATCAGCAGCGAAGAGGTGGAGTGTGCGCTGAAGAGGCTTGGCTTATGGGACCCAAAGAGCTGTAAAGACTGCGCCTCCATGATCTGCGTATATGATACCAATTCCGATGGCCTGCTTGATTTCCAGGAATTCAAGAACATGATGTTGCTTACCATCCGTTGAGCTGTTCTTGATGAATTCTCCTTAGTGCGAGTCATATCTACTTGAGCAAAATGTCCAAGTAGCTAGATCTGCATCAAGCTCCCTGCCATTACAAACGAATCTTATATATTGTGATTATTAAGCATAGGATCGGAGCTAGTCATTGGCGATATTGCTAAACTAGCTAGTTGTGAAGGTTGGAAATTGAAAATTGTAGAGTGGGTGCTGGAACCAATATCCTATATCTTGGTGCACATTGCTTGGCTATGACAGAGAAGGCTTCCGCTAATTAGCTCACCTTCTTAATATAAATATAAGATCTAATTTATAATTCAAATTAAATTATTAATTAGATCTTATGCCGAAAAGTTGTATACTGTTGCTGTTAATTGTTGGTTTTACTTTCCAGTTCCCAGTGTGTCATACTGCTATAGTACTATGTCAAGGGGTCAAGCCCCTTGTTTGCGCATTCTGTTTTCATTTTTAATTTTGATTCTGTTTGCGTTCCCTTAAAAAGATTTTTTAAAAAATGACAAAAGTTCAGAAAATCCAATGCAATTAGTATTCCTGCAACAAAATATATTATAATAATGTGTAATATAATAATTTTTAGTTTTTTTTAAACTTGGATTTTTAGTTAGATGCTCGAACATTTTAATCAGAGAGTTTATACATTGAACTAAAAAAAAAATTTTAAATGGAACAATTTATAGAATGACCTGCTCTAAAACACCGGCGAAATTAAAGAATATTTTGTTTGGTATTCGGAGTTAAGGAAAAAGCCAAAACAACAAATTCTCATTAGGATATCACATCAAATCCCTTGAAAGTTTGACACAAAAAAAATCCATTCAATGATGTGAGAATATTTATAAATATTTCTGCAATAAAAAAACAATTTCTCCTTATTTTTATTTCTACTTTCATTTTCATAAAAAATTATCGTTGTTCATAAAATGAAATGAACACTTGGCAAAAGTATAGAAAGAAATGAATAACGTCGTAGGAGCGCGCTCGTGCCATGGAAGCCGGCATCCACCCGCAACGACCAGTTAGCCAATACGAGAACGCGTTCAGCATTACGTCATAAATGGTCCCACAGTTCCCCGAGAGGCAAGCCTGCTGATTCACAAATCAGAATTTCGACGCCCAAAAAAAAGTCATATTTAAGAATATAATATTGTACTGATTCTGCTTATAACGCTCACACGTACTGTACTAGTCACCCAAATCCATGATCTATTCTTATCTTTTTTGGTATACTCGTTCACGTCCTCGCGCCTTGTTACGGACATTCGGACAACCCCCCCTTCCACCGTCACCTTCATTCTGTCGGCCTCCGTTCGTCATGTTCCCTCACTTCCTTCAGACCCCATAAACCAACCCTCATAGGGCAGCCTACGATTTCCTCCCACGGGGTGACCATGAAATTCTTGGGCCTTTTACCCGTTGATCTCTTTAAAACCTCTGCTTTCGTAAAGCTTACGGCGTTTCTTCTCTTCTCTCTATCCCTCATATTCGTCTTGAACCATTACTCTTCCACTTACTCCTCCCGCACCTTCTTCTCCGGCTCCCCTTCCGGCGAAACTTCTTCCTTTACCGTTTCGTCGGCGGACCGATCTCCGGTTCCGCCACCTCGTCAGAAGGTATTCGTTGTACCTCCGCTGCCGCCTGTGGAGAGGATGGGCGTTGTAGACGACAATGGTGTGATGTCGGATGACTTCCAAATTGGAGACCTTGATGCGAGTTTGCTACAGGAATTGGGTAATTTGAGCGAGATACGAGAGGGGAAAGGGGGAGAAAGTGACGTCATAGTTAGGATTGAGAGGTTTAAGGTTTGCGACCCGAGCATGACCGATTATGTACCTTGCTTGGACAATAAGGAATGGATCAAGAGGCTGAATTCGAGCCAGCGGGGGGAAAAGTACGAGCGGCATTGTCCCGAGGAGGGCAAGGGGCTTAATTGCTTGGTGCCAATGCCGAAGGGGTACAAGAGTCCAATACCGTGGCCCAAGAGCAGAGATGAGGTACTTTTCGAGTTGGAACTTGGAACTGTGTAAGTTTATCAGTTATTTATCCTTTTTTGGTTTTGCGATGTTTAAGTAGAATCTTCATTGCATGATGTGCGATGTTGTTTCTGAACTTGTTCACATTTTTCGGTTAGATATTTGTTACAGTTGTCATTGTGCCCAACAAGATAGGGAACTATCTAATCCATCCCAGGGACTGCAAAAGGGTCTTATTTTGCTTCTGTGTGAGGCTTTACTGGACTAATTTTAACTTGTAAAAAGAAAAGAAAAAAAAAGTCTTTGAGATGTGCTGAAACTTTAAAGTGGACTCTTTAGATACAGTGTTGGGCTTGATCAGAAGAATGGGTTAAATGTCAGTTGGTGGAGGGGGTGATATTGGAATTGATGATGAAACAGAGACCGGCGGTTCGGATATTAACTGCGTGATCTGTATAATGTACACTATGTATGACTTCCTGTTTTGCATTGTTGGCCTCAATTTCTTACAGAATTGGAGTTTATGCTTCAGAAGATAAATAAGCAGTAGCCAGTCAATTGGCTTGGGAGATAAACTAGAATATTGATAATCTTTCAGCAGTTGATAGTCCCTGTTAGTTAGGCATCTAAGATGGTTAACAGGGGCATTGAATTTTCTAAACCTACATCATTAACATAATCTAGAAAGGAATATCCTCCTTTTCATATCTTGGGCATTTAAAGCCATGATTCAATGTTTAACTTGTTGATTGTCAAATTGAAACCTTTTCTTTTGGTTTCATATAAACATACTTATAAATTATATTTCAGTAGTGCATGCTTTTCATTATTGCACATTGTGACTCTTTCACCAGTTCTGTTTGAGATGAGAAGTCTTCAAGTTACTATATACGTAATGACAGGTCTGGTTCAGTAATGTACCTCATACACGTCTTGTTGAAGATAAAGGCGGCCAAAATTGGATATCTATAAAGAAGGATAAATTTGTCTTTCCTGGTGGTGGAACACAATTTATTCATGGTGCGGATAAATACCTGGATCAGATTTCTGCGGTTGGTGTCAATTTTTATTAGGATACTTATTTATTAATTATTGTTTATTGATACATTGCATAGGCGCAACGCTATGATCATTTGAAATGAATGTGTAGATGGTTCCTGACATTGCATTTGGTCACAACACGCAAGTTGCTTTAGACGTTGGCTGTGGAGTGGCAAGTTTTGGTGCTTATTTGATGCAACGTAATGTAACCACTCTTTCAATAGCACCAAAAGATGTTCACGAAAACCAGATTCAGTTCGCTCTAGAGCGTGGTGTTCCTGCCATGGTAGCAGTTTTTGCTACGCACCGTTTGCCATTCCCTAGCCAGGCTTTTGACCTGATTCATTGTTCAAGATGCAGAATCAATTGGATGCGTGATGGTATTACTTTTCCTCATCTGCTGTATTCCTTTTAACCCTTTAATCCTGCATCTTCAGCGCTGAAAAAGAAATTATGTTAAGCTAATAAGAACCGTGAGTTTCTCAGTGTTTACCATTTTTTCCAAAGAAAAATATCAATCCTAAATGAGATGACTGAAACATCTATGCAAAGTTTAATTCCTTCTGTAGAATGCTATTTCTAAACCACCACCACCCCCCACCAAAAAAAAAAAAAAAACGCCCACGCACACACAGAGAGGGAGGGATATACTTGTATTTACAATTAACTTATATGGCTATAGTTCTTTGCACTGATATCCCATTTTCCCTTGGCTTTTCTTGAAGGCGGAATCTTGCTTCTGGAGGCCGACAGGCTGCTTAGGGCAGGTGGATACTTTGTATGGGCAGCACAACCTGTTTACAAACATGAAGAGATCCTCCAAGATCAATGGAAAGGTATCTTCACTGATCAATTTTTTTAGTCGATGATTTGGTGCTGCTCTCTTGAGAGTCTTCCTGCTTCTATATGATAACTCGAGGTCGGAGAGGTCCGAAATATTTTTAAATGACTTGAATATTTATATCATCAAATATTTAGCTGCTTCTTTCCTGGACTTTGATCATAAGTATAGGTAGGAAATCATGATTTTGGAATTGATTACATAACAGAAATGGAGAACCTAACTGCTCGCATTTGCTGGGAACTTGTGAGAAAGGAGGGATATATAGCTATATGGCAGAAACCAATGAACAATAGCTGCTACCTTAGTCGTAACATCAGTGTGCAGCCTCCGATTTGTGACTCCGATGATGATCCTGATGAAGTTTGGTATGTCCCGAAATTCAATCATGATGTTTCATTATGAGAATTAAGCAGCTTATTTGTTATTAAATGTCCTCTCAAATAAGTTTTTTAAATTTTATTTATGGATTTACAGCAATTTGGATTCTTTATACATAAACAAGACAATAAAACTCTGAAATTTAAATCAGGTGATTACTCATCGAGAGAAAAGGTGAACAATTTGGAATAGCGTGCAAAAGCATTTGTAAGCACGTTTCACGCAAATTGAGATAAAATCCTTCTCACATACTTATCTCGTATTGCACAAATCACAATTGAAAAGCTACTTATAAGCTATTCCATATGGGCCCTTCATATTAAGATTTAATTTGTAGTTAGTCAATGGAAGCATAAAGCTTATTTATAGATCATCTGGAATATTGCGAGCAATCAACTTGATAAAAATTTTAGGTATAGGGTTGCATTTGATGAATGAATACCAAAACTCATGATAGCCAGAAGGATTTTGCAGGTATACTGACCTTAAGGCATGCATCTCTAGATTACCTAGTAGTGCTTATGGAGCCAATGTTTCTAAGTGGCCTGCACGCCTTCATCAACCGCCAGACCGGCTTCAGAGCATTAAAATGGATGCCCATATCTCCAGGAAGGAACTCTTCAAGGCTGAATCAAAATATTGGAAGGAAATTATAGATAGCTATATTGGAGCCTACCATTGGAAGGAGTACAACCTAAGGAATGTTATGGACATGAGGGCAGGTTTTGGGGGGTATGGAATAAGCCATTGATTTTGTTTTGTGTTTTTGTCATTTATCAGTGATATTTTTTGTAGAATGATTTTCTAAGCATGCATCTATCCTTATGTGTATGATGAGTCGCTTTCTTTTGACAATAACAGGTTTGCAGCCGCTCTGCATGATCTTCAGATTGATTGTTGGGTTATGAATGTTGTTCCTGTTAGTGAATTCAATACCTTGCCTGTTGTATATGACCGTGGACTGATAGGAGTGATTCATGATTGGTATGAGATTTGTGTTTGTTATTTGGTTAAATTGCTTACATTCGGGTTATGGATTTACTTTGTGATGTTATGCAAGTTTGCAACTTATACTAAAGTTGACATTGTCATCTTATATTGGCGTGTGAATGCTAAACGACGTTCCTGATTTCTGTGGAACTGGAAAGAACAATGATCCAACTCCACAAAAGTAGTTTTGGAGATTTTTTTCAGAAAAGCATTTTGAAAATAATCAATTAAAAGCTTTTGGCTCTCAACTTTGTTTAAGCTTTTATGAAAACGAACAGATTTAAGTCTCTAGGATTGGTGTTATTTCAAAACTGTTTTCTAGAAGCATAAACTATGCTATATGCTTCGTTGTGATTTATTCTCACTTTGTCTACTCCGAAAGATTAACGATTTTCTTTCAATGTGCATTAAAGTTTGACTTCTCTTGGTTGAAAGCTTTCTAAGAATGCTAAGCATTTTCTGTGAACGCATAATACACTGGCCTTTACGCCATCGTGAGTTTGGTAACTTTTATATTATGGAATTCATCCTGCTTTATTGTCGTCGTCGTTTACTTTATTTTTGTAGGTGCGAACCGTTTGACACATATCCAAGAACCTATGATCTGCTGCATGCAGCGGGTCTTTTCTCTGCTGAGAAAAAGAGGTATGTCACTTTGTCCATGCTTTTATTACTCTCTTTTTCCTTGTTGATACATTCATGTTTTCCACAACCACCATCGTAGGGGTCTGAAATATTCACCTGTCTCAGGAAAAGGTGTAATATCTCAACTATCATGTTAGAGATGGATCGAATGTTAAGACCTGGTGGGCGTGTATATATACGTGACTACATATCTGTTATTAGTGAACTGGAAGAAATCGCAAATGCCATGGGTTGGGTGAATTTCCGGCATGATGTGGGCGAAGGTCCCTATGCTAGCTGGAAGATATTAAGATCTGAGAAGCGCTTCTGACAAGCTGGAAGATATTAAAAGAAATATGATAGCTATAACTGTCTGAAATTAAATATCATGGTGCGCCAGAAGTAGGCTCACAACCAGCCATTGGCGCATCTCCCTTCAAAAGCCAATTCAATACTTAGCAACAATGCCTTTATCACTGCTAATCCCATGTTCAAAAGGCCCGTATCTGGTAACTACAAGTGAATGCCGTAAGTAAGCCGATTCAAATTCAACCTAGCATTAAATGGTGTCTGGTCCAATTTGATTGGCACCACCTTGCGGTAACTTGAAAGCATGGAGAAGGCAAACTAAATGAGACAAAATGCATATTCAGTCGAAGTTTTTCTTTTATTTTCACAGCAGTTATTACAGCAAGAATTTCATATAAAGATTGATAGAACCTATGCAAATAAAAATGATTAATTTTTATTGGATGAAAATGCCTCATGCAATTTAATGTATTTTTATTATTGATTTTTTGCCAACTTATTTTGTTATTATTGATTGAGAAAAATGATTAAAAAACGGATATCTATTAAATTTAAAAAAAAACAAATAGGTCTTGCTGACTACTTTTGTAATGGTTTTGACTATTCATAATGATTTTGATAAGTCACAATATATCAAAATTACTTATTTGTCATTTTCAATCTATAAGTATATATTGTCATTTTTTCTATTAATTATTCAATAGATAGATGTGCGTGATATGCCAAAAAAATATTATGATTATTTTTTCAGCATTCTTTTCTCATTTCTAAATTCATTTTAAATAAACAAGTAAATGAAATGACATTTTCAGTAACTCTAATATATTGTCAAACATGATTATATACGTAAAAGGATTGTTCGGCTTGCAAATTAAAATATAAACATATGCTTTTATAATTTAAAAATATCTTGTGTCTCTTGTAAGGTAAAATATAATCATTAAAAAAGACATTTACTATGTTAAATTATGATATTATAAATATAATAAATAATATATATATATATATATCATATTTTGGTATACGAGACGTTCTTTTCCATAGCATACACGAAATGTCTATGGTTTCGTCTCATTAAAACTCGTTCTCTTTTGTTTTTTTTTTTTACAATTTCTTGTATTAAAAAAAATATTGCACTTTAAAACTTGAGATAGTTTTATTATTAAAATTTAAAACACAGACTCGCTTTAGATACCCGCAGACCCCAAGATTACTCGTAGATAAGTTTGGGAGCATCGGCGGGTTGAAAAAACTGGGGTCAAGTGCAGAATGTAACTGACTTTTTTATTTTTGGAGCAAAAAAATATATATATAACTGACTTAAAAGTAAATAATATTACATATTTCAACCAAAAAATGACATCTATGTTATATCTCCAAAAAGCTATGCTCTCAGGAAATGTGACCGAAACAAACTTGGAAGGGGGATTGGAATCATGGGGTATGCTAACACTACACTCATTTACATTTCAGATATCCAGAAAATAATAGCCGGTCAAGAATATCCAACTTGAAGAACATATCACAACATCGACTCTATTAGTTTCTCATGCCTTTTTGCTATTTCTTTTTGAAAGATTTCTTGCTGGCTGCAGTATTAACCTGTTTTGAGAGATAAGCTTCGTAGATTTCAACCACAATACGAGGGTTGCTCTCGACCAGATCCTCATACTCCTCATGCTTAGAAAGCTTGTCCATGTTGTCTGTGATTAATGACAGGGCTGCATCTAGTAATTGTTCAGCATTATGTTGGTGAGCAAAGGCGTAATTCGCGACTGCTTTTTCCCAGTTCAATCTGGCCGTCAAATACTTTTCACAGCATGCCTTGAGATGCTTCACCTGATACTTCTCAGCTAAAACTAACAGATCACAGGCCATTTGGTCATCAAGGCATGCTTCAGCAGTGTATAAATAATCAACAAAGGCACGAAGAGCATTGTATGACATATCACTAATCTTAATGGTACCACTTCGTCTTTCCTCCATATCATTTTCAAGCATTGCTCTGAACACTGGGGAGCGACTCACCTAATCACATAATATCAAGATAGCATCAATTTCACTATGTATGAATACAAAGAAAATAGCAAGATAATCATCCCTACCAATAGCTCAGCAATTTTCGTTTTTTGGTTCATCTTACACCCAAAATGAACAAGGAAAAGGTTATAAACATGCTTACAAGTTACAGTTAGAGTGCATGTCCCTTTGGTTATAGATAAAGCAACCCGGACTCTTACATTCATCAAGCGAATAAATGTAGTGCATAACGAGAAAGAAAGAAGAGAGATTATGAGAGTAATAATGAGATGTAAACCTTATATATAGTCTCATTCATCTGTGTCACCTTTTTTTTTTTTTTTTGGGGGGGGGGGCGGGAATATACGAATGCATGAAGAACAAAGAGGCTTGGCACTTTGAAAATGAACCATGATGGATGTGTCTGTTTACCGATATACGGAGCATGCATGAGTCAGTACATAAAATCCATGCAGTATGGACTGATTTAGATGTGCATCTCATATTTTTTTGGCCATCAGATGCGCATCTCATATAGTCACATGACAGTCCTTTGCCAGAATTCCCCAAGGAAAGTTGAAAAGTAGAAAGGAAGCCAGATTGGGAAGAAAGAACTGTCATTCTTGCTACTTGCCACTCCAAGGAAACTTAAAATGATCTACAACCCAAGATTCACACTTGACAGCTGACAGGGCAATTATAACGTATAAGAATATATGCACGCTGTGGTGAGAATCTTACTACCAGTCATCTGATAGTTAGCCTTTTAGGAACAATACAGCATTAAATTCAACAACTTATTGAAGTTCTTGCAAGGGGTATCTAGAATTCCTTTATAGCCTCAAAGCATTATTCATATGCACTATATGAAAATTTGCTGATTTGTCTGACAGTCTTCAAAATTATTAAAATACACGAAAGCAAGCATACTGAGTTTCTCAAATTCTCTAGTGATAGATAAACGAGGAGGGGAAAAACATAAAGGACGTATTCATATCTTCTTGTTTTATGCTGCTTTATTTTCCCCGCTCATGTGTACTACGAGGCACACCCAAAACGCGCGTAATTCTCCAAGTGCCAAAGAAGACCAAAGCACTTGCCTAAGCGCAAGTGAAACTTGATTATTTTAAAAAGTCGCATCACTTTCTTCTCAGATAGTCAAATGCGAGTGCTTTTAACAGCAAAGCTGAAATCGATGAAACCCTTAACAAGAATAATTTCACAAGAATACAATGACCCAACTAAATTATTAGCTTGGTATTTTTTTTTTTTTTTTTTGCCAGCCATTATTAGCTTGGTATTAGTAACACAGATTATAATCCGTTGGCAAAAAAAAAAAAAAAATAGAAAGAGATCATAATCCTCTGAGTGCCCCTGATTTGTGAGTTGAAAATATTAACAGGTAGACGATACAAGGCCCCCGCCGGAAGAAGAGAAAACTCCCGCTCCTCTGGTGAATAAGCAAAAGTAGCATAACAGAAAAAGTAGGACAAAACACGAGAATCCATGGGCCGGATGTTCAATAAAATCCTTTTGTTTTAAGATTCAAGTTAAAATCGAGTAGGATTACACAGCAAAGAGTGCTCTTCGAAAAAAGTTGACAGCTAAAGTCCAAATTTTGCCTCATCAGTGGTGGGTAGCCCTATGTTAAATCGAAACAGCACTGAAGGAAAATAGGTTTAATGGAAAAATTCATCAAACACATGGGTAAGGAGATACCGACCAGAACAACCCTGTGAGCTGGAACGGTCAGGGAGGGTGGATCAGAACTCTCATCGGAGGGAACCAAAATAACGTCAGTATCGGAGCGATTATGGTGATCAACAGGAGACAAGAGGCTGAGGAAGGCAACTTTGGCCTTCAAGTCTTCGATCTCAGTCTTGAGCTCCTCCTCGGTCTCGTTGACTTCTTCATAGCACTCCCTGCAGGTGCCGGCATCTCCTGGGACGTAATAATCCTGGCATGAAAGGCACTGCATTGAGTTTTCGTCATCGGTTTCCTGCATTTCCTCAAACTGGGACATTATCCCTTAGCCCGTCCCCCAGTTACAATTTTGACTGCCCAATAACCTATTTGGTCCCAAGGTAAGGAATTCCCACGCTGTTTTGACTCTTGGGCACGGGCCTACGGCTTTGGAAGGGAAAAGGCATCCTAACAGATGGTCAAAGCAATTAAGGGCCTGTTTGCTTTGAGGGGAGGGGAAGGGAGGGAGGGGAGGGAGGGGAAGGAGGGGTAGGGGAGGGGAGTCATCCTCCCCTTGTTTGGTTTGATTAAAAAAGAGGGGAGGGGGGCATTTAATGATCCCTTGTTTGGTTCAAGGAGGGAAGAGGAGGGATAGTAATAATCAATTTACCATTTTATCCTTACATATTAGTTTATGTTTTTTATTGATATATTATATAAATTAATTTACATCTTAATTTAAATTATATAATTTAATAAAATTCAGTCTTATCATGTTAATATGTGTATTAAAAAATTGGTATAGTAATTTTTTATTCTCATTAATATAATAATATATTTAAAATAATCAAATTAACAAATTTTATATGCTATAAGAAAAATGAAATTTTATTTTCTTTAGGCTATCTTTTTTTCCAGCTTTAAAATATATTTAATAAATAATATATTTATAAAAAACAATTAATTTTATAATATTATAAATTTTTATTTAAATATTTTTTATTTTTAAATAATTTTTATAATATATTTTTAATTATAATAATGTATATATTTTTATTTTTTTTACTTAGAATAATATATTTTTTATTTGAAATAAATATTATAATAATATATTTTATAGGTAGAAGTGAAATATTAAAAAAGCCATAAGGGCATAATGGTCCAAAATTTTGGCTCCCCTCCAAAAACCCCCAATTTGGAGGGGAGCCAAAATGGGGGAAGGGAGGGGAGGGGAGGGGACATTTTAGCTCCCCTCCCCTCCAAAATTTTTAACTAAATGAGGGGAGGGGCTTCCCTCCCCTCCCCTCCAACCAAACACACCCTAAGGGGGAAAAAAAAAATTCCTGCGTTCATTACAATGAACCCATTCTATTATTCAGCGATCTTTTAATTTCTATCCCCATTTTCTAAGAATTATTTTATTTTTTTAATAAGGGATAATCACACTTAAATCCCCTGGAAGCAATTATATCATTGAATTGGGGGGGGGGAGTCGAGAAATTTTAATTGGAAAAAAAAACTGAACCCTATTTTCATTTTTCAACACACACAGTGAGGGAACTCGGAAAGTGTCACGCTGTTTCTCCGACTCTCCAGTGCTGTGTTTTGAAGTAGTCAAACTTAACAAGTTACTCCTCCCTCTCCAACCTTTCATTCTCAACCAATCTAAAACTACTGGAAAAACTTTCGTGTTTGTGTACGTGTATAAATGTATGTATCCAAATCTGTTCAGTGGCTTTGTATTGAAATTAGTTTGAAATTTCAT